TCCATCATTAGAGTCTCAAATTACATGAAAAAAACATAAACCCTCTCTTCAATCCACACTGCCAACTGTTCGCTTGCCTCCTCTATGCAAATGTCACGACTGCTTTTTGTCTGCCTGCTTGTCTCACTTCTTATTCATTTTTGTTTCCTTCTGCTTTAAATGAGGCCGGCCAGCCCGTTCCTGGAGGCTGATCGCTTGTGCTGAAAAGTCGCAGCTTGCACTAAATCCCCTTGGGTTTCATGGAAGTGACAAAGGGAACTCAAGCAAGGGAAGAAGTAAAAAATTAAAGTAGAGGAGGAAAAATATCCCCCCCTGTGCTGCACTGGAGACCTGTGGGGAAGGGGACGACAACACTGCTTCTGCCAGCCTCTGTGAGGGGGTTCAGCCATGCCCTGACCCAACGGGGTCAGCAAGGACCCCAAACCCACATTGGCTGCCCTGGCCAGGGCTGTTGTCCAGGACCCTGAGCACCACCCAAGGGGCTTTACATCATTTGAGTATTTTATAGTTCAGTTTTAACCCCACTGGCATTTGCCCGAGCCAGTCCAGGAATTTACCGGCACCGGGAGTGAGACTGTGTTAGTGCTGTCTCTGCCCTTGCAACAGGGTGAGAATTGGGGCCAAACGTGGACCCAACACGTCTGCACTCTCACGTGGCCTCCCCCTCTTTCACTCAAATGCTCTGCTCTCCTCATTCCCATCCCTAAGGTTTGGTCCAGGGTCCTCAGAGTGTGAACACATAGGTTTGGTTCTCCCTGCTTGGGACAGTCCGCCAACATGTTCCCAGTAAGCCGTGCTCACTCAAACGCCTCCATATGTCCTCACACTGTGCGCCCTCCCTCTACGCCACACTCTGCACACTGGGGACCTGGGCCATGCCCTCACAAATCTAGGGTATTCTAAGCCGAGAAAACCACATTGCAACATCGGTGACATCTCAGGGAGCAGAGGACACCTGGCTCAGTTGTCACGCAGCGGGGACAGAGCCAGTCCCCATGCAGAGCTTAGCCCTGGACCTGCTGGCGTGGGAATAGGGCTCCTTCTCATCCGCAGAGGGGCTGCAGACCCAGCCTGTGTCACAGTTTACACGGAGCTCCTTCATCCCATCAGCTGGTACCTTGGCATCCACCCTCCTGCCCAGTGGCATCTGATCGGTGTCCCTGGGGGGCTGCTCTCGAATTAGTTCAAGAGGTGCTAACAGGGACAGGGACGGCTGACTCCGACGCAGGTGCCGAACCAGCAGCGACTGCTGAAACCAGAGTGGAGCCTCCAACACACAGAGCAGCTCTCAGCACACGGTCTGCGGAATGATGACTGCCCATGACATCCTCACGCTCTGAAAACACCTGGGGTTGGAGGATCTCCAAGTACTTCCTACATTCCTGGAGAGAGAGGCATTACTGCTGCTGGGACAAGGGACAGGAATTAGTTCATCCCAGCAAATCCATACTGGAGCTGGGGACTACCCCATCCCACACATCCCACAAGCCAAGCTCAGTCCTAACTTGGAGACATTGGGAGACCCAGCAGCAGACGTGGGAAATTAAGTGATCCTTCCTCACTAGCCACCTTGCACCTTCAGTGCAGAAGCCCTGGACAGAGCAGAAACTTCTCCCAGATACTCCCAACTAAGAATCAGTGGAGACGCACAATTGCAAGTCCTCATTGCAGCATCTGCTACTGCTCCTTACTGCTTCTCAGATCTACCACTTCTCTACCAGTCCTTATTTACTCCAGTAGAAACTGGAACGTCAAAGGAGCATAAGAGAGTCAGGTACCCGGCTCTGTTTTTCAGCAATTCTTTCTCCAACCCCGATGCCACATCCAGAGACCCGAGAGAACCAGCCTCCTTGTTCTGAACCACTGCGCTCTCCCCAGCCATGTCCCAGAGGATACAAGATCATGCTTTCAAATACGGCACCAGATGTTTTTTTGAAAGATGGGTTATGGTTTGCATTAGATCTGGACCCTAACCAAGAGACAACCAGCTTTCGACCACCTTTCTTTCACAGGCATAAACCCACCACGTGAGGTATACCCTGGCTACAGAGGTAGGAAACGCCTGGAGTGGGCACAGGGCTGCTCTTCAGGACGCTGACCCCAGCATCATACGTGCAAACACCTTGCTTCAGTTCCCTCCCATTCTAAACCAAAAGGCCTCTATTTCTGCCAAGAAATGAAGCGGTTTCTTGGCATATCTAACACAGCTTTTAAGACTGCCGCTGGGACCTGGGATGCATGCTTTTTCTTTGCCTTCGCCAAAGTCTGCCTTCAAAGTAGCAACAGTTGTCAGCACATCACAAAAACTGTCAAATGACAGGGGGATCAACAAGCTCCTTCGTAGCCCAACCTCTCTGGTAGCAGCACACTGGGAAGAGGCAAAATACAGAGCTCACAGTCCTCATGAGCACTGGAGGGGCTGGCTTGGGCAAGGCAGGAGCTGGAGGGACCCAGCAGCTTCCCAGCCCCACCATCTTGGGGCAGCGGGCTGGAGCCAGCAGCTCGCCGCACACTCTGGGGGAGATTTCTGTCCTGTGGTAAGAGCCAGGACAAGTCTCAAGGTGCTCGACTTGCCCATTGGACAAACTCCCCACCTGACAACCTTGGCTTTGCTTCTGGTCCGATTTTACTGCTTCTGAAAGGCACGCCAGCCACGCGAGATGGAAAACAGAGCGCCACATCTGAAAACACTGTGCAGAGCTCAACTGTATTCTAATGTTTTTTTATTTTTCTAGGGTGTCTTAAAAGAGTCTGCTCTTTCAGGGATCTTTTTTT